TTTTATTTAAAAGTCTCTAAATTATTGCAAGGCTTAGATCAGACATTTCTCACTACCCTCAAATAGCTAAAACAATCTAATCTCATCAAAGTCCTGTCATTAGAAATTTAAGAATGTTTGAAATTAAGATGGGGCTAGTGGTGTTTTTCTGGTTCTGAGCCACAAGCATATTAAAGTCCCCTTTAAAATAAACATATGAGCTCTTGGAGAATGTCATTTGACTTGTTTATACACTAAGCATTTTCTCATTCTCTTCTGATTTTTTTTCTCCAACAATATTCCATGTTTGTCGTCTTTGCGTAATTTTTGAATGTCATATTGCCAATAACTTCTTTATATTCTTACCCTTCAGAATGGTCTGTTACCATTGTAAGGAAGGTGGTTTGTTGCAAATTCATTTGCATAATAAGGATTCATGTTGTATGTTCATATTTTTAAAATACAGCAATGAGTCTCCTGCGGATAGAGTATTATAATTAAAAATGGTGTACCCAGTGCAGTATTCCTTTTTCTTGCTTAGTTAGAGATAAATGTCGCCTGTAATATTTATGTTATTTTCTGTATGGGTAGTACAGAACTTATAGAAGTAGCAAGCAGAGTGTGGATAATTTCAAAGGACAATTCTTGGACTTTTGGTACCTGCGGTGGCAAGGGAAATGGTCTAGAACTTGGAACTAAATAAACTGCATTTTAAAACCTTCAATGGAGAAAGAAATAAAAAGGTAACGTGAATGTAAGGCTTCAAAACATATATGAGAGAAAAATAGGCTTCACACCTTTTATTGCTTATTAGTTTTGAATTCAGCAGTTGATAGGTTTTATGTAAAGATAGAACTAACCTATTTGTCAGCTGTAAGAGAAATCTTAAGTTAACTTTAAAACTATCTGCTGTACAATGCTATATCAAAAGATGAAATTCGTAAAATCCTCTAGTCTCTAATATTGCTTGAAAAGATTTTTCTTATGCAGAACTTTTTCCCATTTTCTAATACTGATGTACACATTCAGGACAAGTTGTCTTTCCTTTCTTGTCGGTTTGATTAGCTCTATCTAGACATTCTAATATAATCCTTGATATATTCAAGTTTTATTCCTAAATGCTGCTATGGAGATGAACTTCCTCTCTTCTGCTCATTTTCAGAATTTATTTATATAGACCAATCTTAATTTTTCTCAAACTGTTCATTAAAATTCCATTGAATAAGCTGACTTCCAATCCATCAAAACACAGAAGGGTGTCTTTTGTCTGGAAACCGTAAGAGCAATTTCTGTAGCTAGAATGACCATCAGGTGTTTAATTGAGATAGCAGGTCACTGAAATGCAGTATTATCGGGTAGTTTTCTTTTTACATAAACTTTAACCTGAGGCACATCTGGAAATTAGGGCAGTTGCTTACTTTCAGTATTTCTGTAACAGAAGGAGAGTAACTGCATATACATTGGCTGTTGTATATTAAATATATTTTTATAGAAGTTGCATGTTTTATAAGATGTTAGGGCCACAAGAGAACTATTGCGGTCCTCTCTGACTGAGTTTGGCCAAAGAACTTCACCCCACAGTTTCTGCATCAAACCCTAAGCTTCCATCTGGAATCAGCACATCAAATAAGCTATTTATTTTCTAGAGTGATCATTTTCTAGTAAACAGTAATAGGTTAGTATTAGTGGTTTTAGTATGATCTCCTTAATAAAGCACATATAATTATAAAAAAAAAAAAAACCAACAACAAAACCCTCAAGTATTTTAGATCTATGTTTGAAAAACCAAGGGATAAGAAATTTCTGACTTGCTTTCACACGTGCAAAGGAAGCTTACTAGAAAAAGCTGTTAGCATTTTTAACTGGTTTATGAGTGAAATATAGTCAAAAGGAGAAGAAATTAATATCAGTTTATACTTAAGGTCTAAATCATCATGTGCTGCAGCTTTGTCTTTTTTCATTAAGATGTTCAGTCTTGGGATTGGAAGACTTGAGGATTTTGAGAGGTATATTTAAAATGTAGAGCAGAATTTTAGTCATTAATTCACACTCATTCTGCATGTGCATTTTGAAAATAGTATAAAAAAATTCTCATTCAAATAGAAGGAAGTGCAACTCTGGAGGCTACAAAATATGCTTTTAAAGTTTTTCTTGATTCTGTATTATATGGTAAAGCATTTTACAGCTCAAGCTTTTTTTTTTTACTTAAGGGAATTGCTAGTTGGATAAATAGAAATGCAAAAACTTCTGAAATGTCAAATCATATGTTTACAGAAAATCATTGTCAAAATAGTAATGTTTGTTAAAAAAAATGCAACTGATTTTGTATTGCATAAACAATATTCTTTTTAAACTTATGGTAATTAGAATATTATGCAAGAAAGTATAATTTTGTAAATACTTTCAGCTCTAACTTGAACTGCAGGATCAGTGCCTGAAATGTTGCATCTTCAAGCAACATTATACTTGACAGGTGTGACATCAGTGTTGAAATAATCAGTAATTGTGGGAAATAACTGTCATGTATATGTTCAAAGTGCAATAAAGGGTTAAATTTCTGTTGGAATAAATATGTAACTTCAGTGTTTTTATTTTGGTGACTTAATGGGTTTTAGCTCTTGGAAATGTTATCACTGTTTTCTGTAGTTTCATTTGTGTACCTAAATACACCTTTATATACATATATACATCTTATAGCATGTTTACCCAGATGTGTTTGTACCCAAAACAGAGTTAGGGTGAGTGGGGTTCTTCCCACTGTATAGGATTTGTAAGGGCACAGAGAACCGAAGGAAGGCTGCATGTTGGTATATGTAAACAGTATTTTCCTTTTCAATAACTCAGCAAAACTTGGTGACTTTATTTGTAGCTAGCTGCCTGTTTTTGAAGTATCAGTCCTTTTCATGTAGTTCATCTAAGTGCCTCAGAGCTGCCCTGGTTGTGTTTAAGCTATTTTCCAGGGATGGTTTCAGTTCTCTCTCCTTGAAAACTCCTAATGTGACTTCTTGCTCGGAAAAAAAAAAGGTGC